TTTAAAAAAAATTCATCAGCAATTTTATTTTGTACATTTATCAAAATTGACTTTTTGGGGAAGGCATTATGACTGCAGTCTGATGCACACATATATACAGCCTAATTTTATGCGTAAGTTCAGTAGGGCTTACTCAAAGAAACCCACACTGAATTCTGGCATAAGGTGAGGCTATATCACAATGTATTTATTTACTCTCAACGTTGGTTTTTAAAATAGTGCCTGAAGTTAAAAATCCAACACAATCATGGTTGGAACCGAGGCTCCGGTGACAATGGAAGTTTGTTTTGATAGACAGCTTTGCACTGACAACCACACACACAAAATGACCAAAGACGAGGAAGGAAAGGAAGAAACACAGAGTATATAGCACAGAGCTGAGGTTTGGAGTGATGCAGAGGAATGTGTAGAACAGCTGCTCACAAAATACCTGCCTTGTAAGTAAATGGAAAGCTTCAGCTTCTATTAATTTGACTGGTGTGCTCTAGTCAACAGTAACGAAAATCCTATGCGATGTGCTTGCAATGCAGCCCCCATTACATTTGAATAGACAATTTGGGACTGCGCTGCTTTTTCTTCTTTTTGAAGTGTGGTGTTTTACACTGTGAGCAATTGAGATATGACATAAAGAAGCGTGAGGTTTTGCAGACGAGTGCTAGCTTAGAATGACTATTATTATTTCTACTAATACTGTATTATAATTGTTATTATTTTATTTCTGTATGACCCTTCCTCCTGGTTGGGAACCCAGACTGGAGTACATCATAAATAAGATATAGTCAGTTAAAGCAACATTACATTGAAACCAGTCTAAAAACTCCTGACATCAAGCAGAACCCAACTAAAACCTGTAATAACATTTTTCAGCTGCTTGGTACCTGCCTTAAAGTACCAAGTAGAGGCATGCCCTACACTCACCACCCCCTCCCCTCAAAAAAAGGCTGGTGACCCCTACTTTACTTACGTACATGGTCCACATAAATGGAAAAACACACACACCAGTGCCTTTTAAATAGATAATTTACAACCCCATTCTAGACATGCCTGCTTAGAAATAAGGCCCACTGAGTTTGATAGGGCTTACTCCCAGGTAAGTGGGTATAGAACTGCAGCCCTAACTGACCATCCCTTTTGACTTTTGTTGAAATGACATGCTTGTGTTAGTTTTCCATAGCTTAACAATTAGAGTGATGTGTTGAATTTTCCTGTATGATTATGCACCAGTTATTGAATTATTCAGCAATACGCATTTTCTCGGGATCTTAAGTGACATACAAGCTAAGTATACCAGCCCCTTTGCTAAACTAACAGAAGAAACAAAGAGGGAAGAGAGTGGAAATGGCAGCGTTCACACATTATAAGGCATAAACCACAAGGTTCCTGCCCTCTCCCAGCTCACACTAAGGCTGTGTATACGCTCCTGTTTACTCGGCATCCAGTGCACTCCTGCTTCTAGTCTGGCAGCATTAACCACAACAAACCTTTATCCTGTCGTTCGTAATGAAATGCTATAGTTTGATGTGTTCCCCCCACAAACCACATTCAATCTTCAATCTAACGTGTACAGAGCCTAAGAGGGAGGGAAACATGGTCCCTGCCTGGTTTAGTGTTACTCCAAACAAATCACAACCTGTAGCCAAATTTTATTATTGGCTTACAGGTCATTGGATGCAGTGATAAATCCAAGGTGGTGGTTTGCTTTCTCTGGGTGGAATTAAGCAGTTTTGCTAGTGCACAAAAAGCCATGGTTTATGGTGTACTGTGATGTGCAAACACCGCAGGAATTGTTGAAGGCTATCTCCTACCACAACCAACACGCTATTCTGTAACCTGAGCCCTTTTGTACACAAAGTTACTTGCCAAATCTGCCCAGTAGTACATGTAAGACAATCACAATATGCCTGCAGGTGCATTGTGGGGAATGAATAATCTCTGCTGGCTCATGGAGAATTAACCTAACAGCAGTCCTTAACATAGGATGTCTGCGTGTGGGATGTGCTAGGTGAGGAATGCAGGATTATACCCCAGGATAGTGGTGGTGATCTCTGGCCCCATAATCTTAAATTCTGAAGTGAAAAAAGAAGGGTTGATGGAAGCACTAGGTACTAACGGGAGCTAAGTTAAGACATTTTTGCTGTCTGCTGCTGAGCAGCAACCCCACATGCACCCTCAAGTCAAGGTGCATTAGTTCCCTCAATGAAGACATGGGGTTGATATTTTTGACTAACTCACAGTGCCCCTGAAGATACACAAAGAGAACATTTTATTTCAGAAGGAACATGGCTATGCTATCCCATAGGGTTGATAGGACCCCTATCACAAAGAACTGAAGAGGGCTAAATATAACTTCACTATAAAGTGTATCCTCTGGGTTTATAAATGCTATGCCCCCATTCTGCTGCCTTTATCCACAAGGAACCTATCATATCCTTGTTGAGGGAGGAGGGTGGTTCAGGTGGAATGATTATGCAGGGCTAGTGATACTGCCAACCTCCAGCATCTGTTTGCCTGAGTTTGTCTAATCTCTGCCCTGGGTGCAATAATGGGGACTGGAATTAAGGTCTTCATCCACCACTAAATTTCTTAAAGCAAATCCCTAATTGCTGACCAGGTCTATTAGGGCTGCATAACCTACTGTGATGACAATGCTACAAAAATTCAGTGCAGCACATTGTTTTATGTAGATGGAACAGTCTATAGGTTTTAGAATATCAGTTCCCCCTTTTGTTTAAGTAGAGCTCCATTGTTTTATTTATTACTAAATTTCTCTTTTGTTGCTTCCTGACGGTTTGATTTGTTGCGCCGGTTACATATCAAATGAGCCAAAGTCTCTCGGAATGAGTGGCTCTCTTTCTTTATTCTTCGAGCCATATTGAAAACCATTCCTGTCAGCTGATACTCTCCCAAGTAGCTTGGGAGAACTTTGGCATAGTTTGCCTAACCTTACAAACAGTAAAAGCTAAACTCGCCTTTGATTAAAATAATAATAATAAAGCCAGAGGACTTTGGCACAGAGCCATTAAGGATGCAGGTGACGTTTGTAGCAGGCTTGACAGAATATTTCGCAAAACAGTAAATGTTCTCCTGAGGGTCCCTCAAATGGGCTGCGGCACTTTGCTTGTACTTAACATATATCAACTGTCACCCAACGGCAGTCACCGCTGAACTGAGCACAATGGAACATCCAGATGGGCTAAACAAAGTGAGCAAATGTTCAATGCTATTAAAAGCTGTTTACATCAACTTCCAGTATTTCATGTGGTGAAGTTTATATTGTGTCACCTCTGAGCTGCTTAGCTCCATCCACTGCCAGCCGACACTTTTGTAAACTATTGTTGCTTATGTATGAAAATGCTGTACGTGCTACAGAGCATTTAAACAGCAGGGAACAGTCCATTGTATGCTAATTGCTTACTCCCAAGTATTTCCCAAGTAGATCTCCTTTGTGGACTTCTTTTCCAGCCTTACTATTCTTCTAACCAACAGGTGAACCATCAGGATTTGTTTTATTTTATTTTCCGTCCCACTTTCAAATCTGCACACACTTTGTGCCATATGCAAATTTGCTGCGCGCAAGTAAGATGATGTCGGATGAGACGGAATTTCAAGGAATGGTGCTTCCCCCATAATTGTGTTTCTGTACTAGAAAAAGCTTAACCTGTTGAATCCCAACAGGCAAATATACAGCTATAATATATACATAGGAAAAACTCTTGCAGAATTACATAGCCAAACTAGGTCTCCACATTTTCTGGAAGTTGATTCGAAGAGATGTCTCTTTCTCCTTAAGTTGCTTATTGTTCCACCCATTCTTGGATAAGTGCTGCAGCTTAGTGGCAGAACTGAGGTGGATGGGCAGGGTACAAATAATAAATTATTATTATTATTATTATTATTATTATTATTATTATTATTATTATTATTATTATCTGGCTTAATCTAAGGCAGCTTTCCATGTGCCTTCATTATTGGAGCCTCTTCCATTACCTTTTTTTTTTAAAAAAAAGGAATTTGCAGGTGGGGGGTTTCATCTGTTTGTTATTTACACCAAATTTCTTTTAAAAAAGGCGGTCTAGTTCATGATTCCAGGACATGACTGCTCCAGGTTCCCACTTTTGCCAGCAAACTGTATCAAATGTGTGTGGATGTATGTATAGGTGCTATTTCCCTTTTTTGAAAAATGAAAGCAAAGAAAGAAGAGTTTCCCATTTTGGGAGGAGTAGGTGTGTTTGGGAAATGTGTAAAGGTTAAAAGAAGGGTAGCAAGTAGGATAAAACTGAAATGAACTAAAATAGGCGTGCTTGTCTGCATACACAATGTGACTTTGTTCAGTCCATTACATAGAAGAGATTTATTCTGGAGTGAGCCAGTCCTGTGTGCTTGGAGAGCTCCAGTTCTGCTTGCAGCCCATTTGCTTTATATAAGGTCTGTACCTTCAAGTGTATCAGATTGTTCCAAAGCCTCTGCATTCATGCTTGACAGAGGTCAAACCTCGTGCCTTTAGATGAGCCCTTGGAGCCAGTTTGTCAATCCAAATGCAAGCTGCTCAACTTCCTGTTTATGCCTGTGCTGAGTTACATATCCGGACTTCCTTGCCTTCAGCTGCAGGTTTTTCCGTACTCCCTAGGAGATCCCTTCCTTAAAATGGTTTCTTATCATTTAAGCAGGCTGCTGGAATTTTGCTAATTCCTGTTTCACTTAACACATGTGAAGTTCTGCATTGGCTACACAGGCCATACAGTGTTACGAAAAGGTGATTTAAATAACAATGTACGATCAGAGAGGGCATTAAATGCAATATTTTGATTACCTGTTAAAGGCACTTGCTGTAAACTGACCTCAAGTTGCTATCAATGAAAGTGTGATCTTGTAAATTTAATTTGTAGTTAGGATTTTGCTGATGACCGTTTTGTGTACCTTTAAAAAGACTATCCTTGCACCTCAAGGTTAATTTAGGCTGATACTATGAGTGGTTTTAAAACCGATAATCTCTCCACTAGATGCTGATGATGAATCCTAGTACTTGTTCCTGCACTTACAAGCTTGCCATCTAAAATTAAACACTGGGAGCAAGCAACAGAAGAAGATGCCTAACCTGAAAGAGACAAGTTAGCCAGGTGAGCAAATGTAATTGCACATGCTACACCTTTTCAAAGGTAGCCTCCCAGTTACGGAACCGTATTCTAAACGTGATCCATCAGGCCTCATCCCTTGGCAGTTTTACACAGTCCTTAAGGAGCCATCTTTTTATCATGGCCCTTGGGAGCCAATCTGTAAATTGGTCATTTTATTTTCTATTGTATACTATACTGACTATGTATTGTTGGACGGAGATGTATATTTCAAATGTTTAAAGGTAATTACTTCTGGATTTTATGAATATGCATTGATATGTTGGGAGGCAGCTTGGTCTAAATTGAATTGAATTACTATACCAGCACCTCAATTTTTAAGTGTTATTGGAACAAGCAAATATCCAGCATTGAATGCTACACTGTCATCAAATGTTGTGCACAAGGCTAAATATTTACACTGCGTATATTAATATGAAGGCAACCCACCACTGAGCAAAGGTGTCACGTTTTAAGCCCTGGCCCTTTGTATAGAGTCAATAGCCTCTGGCAAAGGTGCAAGAAGTGATTTTTGAATAAATAATTCAGCCGTCTACAGTGGAAGTACCAAAGGAAGCATTGTATACAGAACAGAATTGGTCTAAGCAGTTAAGCCAGCTACAGGGGTTTGGGTGTGGGTGGGTGGGTGTCCTTGTACCATCTAAATAGAACAATATGTTGGTGCAACGAAGGGAGGAAAAGCGTTAAAGCAGCTTGGTCCCTCCAGAAGTTTTGAACTACAACTCCCATCAACCCCAGCTGGCATGGTCTATTGTCCAGGATGATGGCAGTTTTGTCCCTAACATCTGCTGATCACTAGGTTGAGGAGGCTACCCTCAATTTCATAAATTTATTATTATATATAGATCTTATGTTCTTATGTTGACGACATAAAAATACAAGATGGAAACACCAAAATATCTATCCTCATCTGTCTTTACACACCCCTTGCCTCTATTATTATTATTGTTATTATTATTATTATTATTTTATTTTATTTTATTTTGCATGCTGCCCTATATCTGCAGGTCTCAGGGCGGTTCACAGGATAAAATCACAATATATATATATAAACCCAAATACATAATCAAAATAAAAATAAAAACAAAAACAACCCAATAACACTCCCCCCCCCCATTTTAAAAGGGCATTGGATGTCAATGAGCCAAAGGCCTGGTTAAAGAGGAAAGATTTTGCCTGGCGCGTAGTTCAGGGGTTGCATGACTACGTTATGTTTGCTATCCAGATCCATCTCTCTTCTGTGTGGGTCTTCCTGAAGAGCACACAATTTGGTGTGTGCAGTGGGGAATTTGTGACTGCACAATGAAGCTTCCTATCATGTAAAAGAGAACAGGAAGCTATGAATATACTGGGCTCCAGGGAGTGTTCTGATTGTGGCCGTTGTGTATAGACTTGCACGCAGAAAGGAATAATTATTGAACTTAATGACTGTCGTGTTATCTTAAGAGAGGTTCCTAATGAATATAGAGTAGCTTTCAAACATAAGTGTTCGGGCTCCACACTGTTTAAATAATGTTTGATTGATCAACTGCAATTTAACCAATTAAATAATAATTAAATTTAAACAACTAAATTTAAATAACTTTGCATATTGCCAAACCTGATGTCCTCTGAGATTTTGAAGGCAATGTGGCATAGCTTGCAATTTAATAAAAAGGTGTCACTCATTGGAAGGGAAGCTTAATATTTTATTTTTCATTTTCTGTTTCCTTTATGCAGAACTAAGGCTTTAGTTGAATAATGTTAAGATATGTAGAGGGGGCTCTCTTAATATTTTCCCCACCCTTGGAACTGTGGAGGCTGGGAGAGAGCTTTTTCTGTGGCAGCCCTTAAATTGGGGAACTCCGTCCCCATAGAATGCATCTTGCAACTTCACTGTGCAGCCTTTGCTGTATGTTAAAGAAGCAGCTTTCCCCCCTGGCCTTTGGCAGTGAAAGTAACTTTGGCTAAATTTATACCATTCTATTCCATTTGGAATGGTTTTATGTGCTTTATAATTGCAACTGTTTTATCTTATAATTTTAAATACTGCTAAACCACCCTAGGACCTTAGGGCATAGGGTGGGTAAGAAATCAATCACATAAAAAAAATAATTGTTGTTTAAACTGATCAAATCTATATGTGCTAATATATATGGGATTTCCTTAATGGTTTTTTTTTATGGCATAACTTATTACTTTTCTTGGGCTACCACAATTAAGATTGAAATCTCTCCAAAATGGCACTTTATACATAAAAAGAGAAAGTTAGTTTATTTTATAAAAGTATTTCTATATCGTCACATTTTGAGTAGGACTAACATTGGATACAGTCATATGTAATATAAAAGGCAAGGTGATGTGGAAAGTAAAAAAACTTCACTCCGTTATCACTGTCTTCATTCTTATTTATCTGACAGATATATATAGATATACTGTAAAGGTAAAGCGACCCCTGACCGTTGGGGCCAGTCGCGGAAGACTCTGGGGTTGCGGCGCTCATCTTGCTTTACTGGCCGAGGAAGCTGGCATACAGCTTCCAGATCATGTGGCCAGCATGACTAAGCTGCTTCTGGCAAACCAGAGCAGCACACGGAAACGCCGTTTACCTTCCTGCCGGAGCGGTATCTATTTATCTACTTGCACTTTCATGTGCTTTCAAACTGCTAAGTTGGCAGGAGCTGGGACCGAGCAACGGGAGCTCACCCCGTTGCGGGGATTCGAACTGCTGACCTTCTGATCAGCAAGTCCTGGGCTCTGTGGTTTAGACCACAGCTCCACCCGCATCCCATATATACTGTACTCCCCTTCAATTAGCACTTTATTAATAAAATATAGTAATAAAGCAACATAGAACAAAGGCAGCATTAAAAAAAAAAACCAATTGAGAAGATCAATGTTACATCAGCAGTTAAAAGATTGGGAAAATTAAAAGGTTTTCATCTGGCTCCAGAAAGATAACACAAAGTCCAGCAACAACATGCAGCTTCTTTGGGCAGGAGTTGGAGCTCTCCAAGATGTAGCAATGGCCACCAATTTAGATGGCTTTAAAATGAGATTAGACCGATTTATGGCACATTAGGCTCTCAATGGCCACTAGCCATGATGCCTATATTCTGCCTCAACTGTCAGAGGCAGTTCCTGGGGATTACAAACAGAATGGCATCCACATACTGCTTGCTGGCTTCAGATTGGCAAAATTTTGGAACCAGGATGTGAATGGAAAATTTATGGGCTTAATTTTCAATACTTTCATTTAATATATATAGTAATACCTCCGCAAACGTCTACCTCATCTAGTGTCCATTCCAGCGAATGTCCGTGGCAAACCCGGAAGTACCGGAATGGGTTACTTCCGGGTTTGCTGCTTGCACATGCGCAGAAGTGCTAAATCGTGCTTTGCACGTGTGTGCAGATGTGGCACTTGGCCTTGTGGCCTTTTCGGCTAGCAGCTGGGGCTCCGGAACAGATCCCAGTCGCAAAACAAGGTACGACTGTACTGCTAACCCTAGCATTATTTTAGATGGGCATCAGAGGTAGTACAGTCAGCATAAAGTGGCTTGGGGGGACTGAATAACTATTGGTTTCAATGCTTTAGCCTAATCATAGACCATGTTAAGAATGTGCTTTGTGTGTGTCAGAATATTCATATGAAAACATCATCCAGATTGAAATCAAATAATCTTGTAATGACTTCATTAACTCTGCCACCAGTTCAGCAACCCTTTTTATTCCCTTTCACCCTTTGTTTTCTGAAACATTTTCATGATGTTGTTGTTTTTGGTCAGAAAAACGAATGTTGCTAAATATGGTTTCTGTTTTTTTTTATAGTAAAACCAACAATAACAATGAGTCTAGCTATTATATTAACAATTAGTGCTGATACCACACACGGCTTTCATCTCCTGGTCATTTGTCATAATGCTTATATTTCTGTTGCAATGAGGATGTGTGATGCCTCTCTGAAAGCAGCTGGAATGAAAACAAACACATCCACCAAGTTTGGCAAGCAAGAGAACAGAGACAGATTAATTTGTTGTGTGCTTCAAAGGGTTCCTCAGAAAAAGCTCTTTCATTGATGGTGGAGTGGCACACTATGCCTGTAAGCATGGAAAGTCTGAGCTGCATTCTTAATTTAGTACCGTGTGGGAAAGTTGATGGACGATGACAGTAATGTTGGTTTTACTTCTATTGTAAGGTTCTTTGTAAAAGAGCAACTCTCAGTTATTAATCTGCAAAATCTTAATTTCTGTGGATTAATTCTGAACACACATATATGCACAGACTGCTAAACCTCACTTCTAATGCTGTGCAATTTCCCAGTGCATTTATACAGTTGTCTCTATCAGAGATTAAGTTTTGTTTCTAAACTGTGCAAAGAAGAACTGAAGAAATTTCTATTTAAAACAAAGTTCATGGAGTTCAGTAAGTGTTCCAAACAACAGGAAAATAATCCTAAATTATTCAAAGTCTGCAATGTACACACTTACCTGGGAGTTAGCCCCACTAAACTCACTGGAACTTACATATCGATTCATGTTATTAGAAGAGAATTTGTCGCTAGCACACTTCACTTTGATTTCCACTCCACCCCGTCCAGTTGATTATTTTATGTCATTTTGGTAAGAACTTGGCTTGAAGTTCACAGGCAGCACAAAACATGTAGCTACAAACAGAGCCCTTCATCAGTTGAAACATCTTCCCTTCAGACTTTGGGATAAATAGACTTCTCCGTTTACCACTGACACGTGTGTGAGGAACAGCCCATAACATGATTGAACTCCATTGATTTTTCATAAAAGTTTAATAAGACGATACAGGTCAAAAGCTTTGCAAAATTTGCAATAAATTTTGGCAGCTATCTGAACTAGACTTTGCTGCAAAAGCTGACATAAGAGGAGTGAAAGTGTTGGCTGAGACTATGAAAGGTAATGAGCACCGTGAAACTTTTGATCAGCTTTTTAAAGACCTTTGTATTGACTGCTGTTTCTCAGCAGATAAATTTT